CACCAGCGGTCAGCTGCGTCTCACTGTGCACAAACGTAGCCCTCATGGTACCGGCCTGGTGGAGGAATCCGTGTTTGTTGATCACGTTGTCTGTGTGGTAAGTCCTCAATGCTCTGACTAAATTAACTGGTGAAGCTCGCTCTTCGGAACGCGGCTTGGAAAAATTCGTCAAGATGATGGTTTGTAAAGATGGTTTTGTGGTGATTCAAATGCTTATAGTTGGACGGAAGTTTACGGGTTGGGTTACGAGACATGCGCGTCCCGTTACACCTCGCGGCTCATTTCAGAGCCATCGTAAGCAATCGCCTAGTACCCAGTAGTATCTACTGAGCGGAAGTACCATAGAGGCAAGAAGGACTAGAATGGCCATTTATGGCTTATTGGCCGTCGTTAAACAGACATGTCCAACCCTAGGTTCGGGAACCTAGGACTCGAACTCAGGATCTTGGGTCAGTGGGGGTTAATTACACAAGGTCCCCACCATTGAACAAGGGGCCTTTTGCCCTGTCGGCTACGATCGGGAACTTAGGCTGTAGTAGGATGGTTGTTCACCGATCGGATTATGGGCCTCACTCAGGGCTTCAGCCCCAAAACGCTATACAAATGCCGCAAATCACTCTTAAAGTCTATCATAATCAAAACCTTGAACGAACCTGTTACTTGAAAATCAGAGGGCTAAAGTTTCATGTACGTAAAGTGGTCCACACATCAGCGTTGCGTGGGATTTCGTACTTTGTGCGAATTCCACTGGCCACTATATGTTTCTTTCCGGTCCTTTTTTTCTTAAGTTCAAGTGCTTCAGGTAAAGTTAATACGCCCGGCAACTGCGTAGGTTGGTTCGCGGATTATTGCCAGCAGCCTTATATCCGCACTGAACCTCATCTCCCGCGTGTTACATTTGTGAATTTATTGCACCATGGGATTTGTGGGATCTCCACTCTATCTGGAGGATAAATGATTAATTTGCCGAACTACAAATTGTGCAGTATCCTCCATTAGGTTGGACGACACTCGCAAATTCGTACAGATGAGGTCTTTTCGCTTCATGCTGGAACGCATTTGACGCTAAATGTATGCTGCTGGTGTTATAATGTTGCCACTGCGTAGATATCGCTATATCGCTGTCAATTTACGCCTCGTTTGAATTCCCAGGGGAGAACACAACAACAAGGGCGCAAAAGTGGAAGGCTCTTTACGTACTTAGTACAGGGTATCTAAGACGAGCAGAGCATGTACAGGCAGGGCAATCGGACCAATCAGACTGTGTCCTTGAGGGGTAATATGCCAAGTGGTTTTACCGGCTCACCAGAGTGGTGGGGCAGAACACTAATCCCGGCCGGCACTATTGCCATCTCATCACACGCGCGGCTTGTACCGATCGATAATGCGCCGTGGGACGAGTCATTAGGACAGCGTGATAACGAGTCTGTTAGGCGTGCTCCTAACAGCTGGTAGTAAAACATAAAGATGCTAACAGGAACTTTTAGGAACTGACCTTTGAATCGGGGTTCTCAGATCGCTTTTCGAGCGCTAACTGACTTTCCTATTTTGAGTGAACGCTTTTCAGTCCAGTAGCCCTTCACTTCCTTGTTGCCCTCCTTCAAACCTTTGATTGTTTGTCAAGGAAGACAAATCAGCTATATGGGTATGAGTTTACAGTGCCTGCTGATCTGTTTGTTCGTCGATGGACGGGCTCCATATAGTCGTCCATTCAGACTAATGATCTACCCTAGACAAAGGAAATAGTGCGTCTAGACTGCGTCTAGTTGCACGGCCTTGGGATGGACCTGTCAACCGTCAACATCCTCTATTGCCAGTGACTGATTTGAAGGTTTCTTCAGTTGCTAACATTTATCAGTGTAAGAAAAAATTTATCAGTGTACTTTGCAGTCTAGACAATTTTGTCACTCGGGCTCTTCACATGGAGCTTGTAGGTTATTTATTTTATATTACCACTCTGTCTACCATATTGACTGAATTAAACTTGCAACT